CCAAGTCAGTTGTTGGACAGAGAGCAAGGAACCCCAATCCCTACCCTGCCAGTTTGTTTTGAAAATCAGGACTTGGGAGCTCCTCCTGCCCCTGGAATGTGGTGCCCAGTGCAGGGATTATGTGAGGAGCGGCATCCCTTTGAGAACAGCCCTCAGTTCTCCGGGCCCAGTTCAGAAAAGACTTGGTGAGATGCCTGTGCCAGTGCAGGAAGTGACAATGGGTTTGATGGCAGCTTTTCCATAAAGTGACAAGGGAGGACGTTGGGAGGGGGGGAGATGCCCCTCTGTTGGGAGTGGAGAATGGTTGGCTGAGTCTGTGAAGAGAGGAGGGGGCAGGGGTGCGGGGAGCAGGCCGCCAGGGCACCCCAGTGACCTGCGTGGGGAGCTCCGAGGACTTTAGTTAAAGACGGATGGGTTGAGGCTTAGCCACCAAAACGAGACTGTCTTAATAACACCATGGGAGGGAACAGTCAGAGACCTCCGTGGAGACATCGTTAAGGGAGCTGGCTCTCCAGTGGGAAAGCCAGCGTCAGTGTCGACAAAGTAAAGCTCCAAAGTTATTGGAAAAATAAAACTATTTCATGTTTATACCTCGAGGGGTTGAGAGCCTTGGATCAAATCCATTATATTTAAATATTTACATGTACAAATATGCTTGTTTCTGCATAGATCTTCAAATGGGATATGTAAGTGTAACAACTACCTCTATGGGGGAGGGGCGATGGGGGGATCTACTTTTTATCTCTTCTTTTGTACCTTTTGAATTTTTTATACCATAGGCAAGTATTACAATATATTTTCAATTAAAATGGGCAGTTTAAAAAATTTTTTGTTAAATGGAACTGGATGAGGTTCCCTGTGTCTGACCTTACACTATAGAGGTGAAATGGATTTTCTCTTCTTCAGGGTCCCAGTGGAGGATGGGCAGCCGGCTGCCTGTCCCACCCAGCAGCCCTTCCTGGGCAACAGCTGGTAGCCCGAGTTCACTGGCTATGCCTGGCCGGCCGCCTGGACGTATGTGCCAGCTCTGTCACCTCCCAGGGAAGCTACTTGGTCACAGGAGTGGAACCAGCTCATCTTTTGCTCACAACTGGGTTTTCCTTATCTATTTCTGGGGCTGAGACAGAGGAGGGCCCAAGGGGTGGGGCTGTCACATCCCTGCCTAGAGCCAGACCCCCCAAATTTCAGAACATCAGCCAGAGAGCCCTTGCAGAGCTGCAGGTCTACGGCCCACACTTAGAGGTGGGGAAACGGGCTGAGGGAAGGACGGCGACCTACCCAGAATCAGGACTAGAACTCAGGTCCCATGCTTCTTAGGGCAGAACTCTTCGAACCCGCCCCCCACCCAAGAGACAGGTGACAAGGAGGGGTCCTCCTGCTCAGGTGGTGGCAGAAGGTTAGGGGACTTAAAGGGTACCTTTCACTCCGGGGAGGACCCGACAGCTGCCTGTCTGTGGGAGCTGCTTGTATAAAATAGCTGTTCCACCTCCGGCTCGGTCACTGCCTCCCTAGGCTGCTGCTCCCACCTCAGGCTACATCCCTGTGTGTGTGTGTGTGTGTGTCTCACACACACACACAAACACACGTGCACGCGCGCGCACACACGTAAACCGTCCCTCTCCTCTGCTCCCACCCTGCCTGACCCACTGGAATGTGATGATGGCTGGAGCTGCTCTGGGTCCCCGGGGAATGATGACAATCTAAGCTGGCGGGGTTGTGTGTGTATACGTGCAAGTGTCTTGCCTGCCCCACTAGGCCCTAAGTTCCCAGAGGACCTAGCCCAGGTACTCCCTACCCCCAGAGGGACAGCCAGGTGGTACCTGGTACACACCCCGGAGGCACGGGTCCCAGAAAGTCGGAGCTGGCAGGCTCATAGGTACCACATACTTCAGAGCATAAGGTTGACAAAGGGTTCCATGGACAAATACATCTGGGATACCCTGGATGAATATGAGGAAACCAGCTTCTTCGGGTGGGACCTCTCAGAGCCGTCCATGTGCTGATGAACACTGGCCCTCCCTGACCGGGCCAGAGGGTGCTGTCACCACAACCTGAGGAGACCGTGGAATCCACTTAGAGCAGGCAATGCATGCTGGGAAATGCTGGGACCAGACCCCACTCACAGAGAACTGAGGTCCAAGGGCAGAGGGGACAGCTGAAACAGGGCCGCTGCCAGTCGTCTCACACCTTTGTGCACATTGGAAATAAATGTCCCCTCAAGACTTTTCCATCACTGGGAAAATGAACACCAATGTGATTTTATTGGAACAGGGTCCTTTACTGCCACCTGCTGGAAACACCTCAAAGTAAATACAGGGCTACCACCCTTGTGGGAATGGCACCACCCTCCCCCTAAGGTAGTCTAGTCCCGTGTGTAACCTGCCCAATCATGGAGGGCAGCCCTGGGTCCTAAGTCACCCCACCCGAGCCCTCACATCATTTCCCTTCCACCTGCATGATTTCTGATGCTCCTCAGGTGAGTGTTCTGAACTGGCCACCCAGTATCGGCCCCAGCCAGGACACAGGCTTCTGAACTTCACACAGGCAGGTGGGGACACTGGGGCCTCACCTCTGTCGCCCCTCCCACACATCACCGGGTCCAGGGAAGGCTCAAACGACTGACCCCTGAACACACTCCTCGTGTGCTCGCGCACTGAGAGCACTGACTAGGGAGCAGGGCCTGAGATGCAGGCCAGCACGGGCTTGACCTTGCTCTGTGATGATGGAGGAGTCCTCATGCCTCTGGGGGTCAGTTTTCCCTTCTGTAAAATGAGGCAGTTGAGCCTGATCATTTCTAGGAGCTCAGGGCCATGACAGTGACCTCCCCGCCCCCCAAAGCCCCTGGAATTTTGAGAAAAGTGGGAAGGCCACTTCATTGCTGGTAGAAAGACAGTCCAGAAGGCAGCAGAATACAACCTGGAGGGTTTTTTTATTAGACTAGGAAATATAATTTATTTCATAAAAATTAATTTTGTTACAATAGGAATGCTAAATGTTATTTACAGGTTGTAGTTTACAGAATAAACAGAGGTGGGGTTGGGGCCATTCCTGAAGCCCTGCAGCCCCGGGACACAGAACCACGTCCTTGACCCAGGCTGGGGGGCAGCCCTTTGCCCCCAGGAGAGCTGCTCCCTGACCCCAAGCTCCTGAATCACCTCCTGTCAGAGGACCTGCTAAGGGACCTGGCTCAGCTGCCTGGTTGCTGGGGGAAGCGGGCAGGAGGGCCCTGGATCGGCCAGGAGATGAGAGGGTCTCATGCCCTCAGCGGGACCCCGGCCCTGGAACTCTGGATCCTGGGCACTTCAAGAAAAGGCAGAGGGAGAGGCACGTAGAAGATACACCAAGTGACCCTATGGACTCACAGGACAGAAAACAGGCACGCCAACCTCTGGGCGTCCCAACTTGGGACTTGAGGGAGGCACTCTCACACAGGTGGGGACACGTTTCTGGAGGGGAGCCCTGATGTGCCCGTGTGTGAATAAGAGCACACACACACACGCAAACACAAACACACCCCAGAGCGAGAGAGACAAAGACACCCACGGGAGGGGCAGGCCCGCAGGCACCTCACCCGCCGCTCTCAAAGCACACGGGCCACATGGGGCTGTCTCTCACCCCGTTCCCAGCCCGAGGCGGGCAGCGTGGGAATGTAGTCACAGCAGACTGGGTATATTGATGAAGCCACTACACCCGTTCCTGGCTTTTCTTACAAAGCTGGACAGTCTGAACCTTCCCAGGAGGCTCCAGCCAATTGGTTCTGAGCCCCAGGCCCTGGTGCACAATTCCGAGGAATCAGATCAGGCCTTGCAGGCACTCTGAGCAAGTAGGCTTGTGGGCGGGTGGGCAGGCAGACCACAGAGACTTCCATCCACTAGGGTTCCCATCCAAAGCCTACAATGATAGCCTCTCAGAACCCAGAGGGCCTCAGGCCGCAGCTTTGAGGGCTTCTAGCAAAAAAAGGAAATGAGGCCCAGGGCAGGCAATCACATGCCTGAGGCCACAGTTTAATGGCAAAGCTGAAGACTGAGCTCTGGTCTTGGGACTCCAGGCTGCCCACGGACAATTTAGAGCCTGTGATGGGATCAGCATGGGTGACGCCCCGGGTGGCCCTGGCTGGACTGCCCTCAACTCCATGCCATCACACAGGCCCCTATGACTTGGGCTAGGGGTGCCCAGGGAGGCGAGCCCCAGCAGCAGGATCTGCAGACAAGGACGGCTCCCTGCTTCTTGCCTGAGTCACCATCCACATAGGCTTTGGGGTAAGGAGCTGGGGTCCCAGCCCCGATGCAGGCCTGTCACCTTCCGCAGTCCTGACACAGGGAATCCTCTCTGGAACCTCACCTGCCCAAGGCTGGCACACGGCCTGAGGCGGGCAGGGAAGCCAGGCTGGGGATGCCGGCTGGGACTGCAGCCCTAAAACCTGCTTTCTTCTCAGGAGACCAGACTTTCGGAGGCCGAGAGGTGCCCAGGCTGGTTCCGGCGGCGGCTTGTGGGCCTGCTGGGGCAAGCCCGGGGTCCGCGCCCAGAGCCGTCTGGGGCCGGCACACGCTTTGCCTGGGTGCCACGGAGAGGCCTTTGATGAAGTCTCTGTGCCAGAGGCAGGGGCCTGGTCCCAGCCATCGTCAGACAGCTGAGAAGGGACAGGGATGCCATCCCTCCCCTATTAGGGACCCTGCTGGCCCCTCAGGACATCCTGGAATAGGCTGGTGAGGGGCTGCCAGCCTTTCCTCTCTGGCAATCCTTCCTGTTCCAAGGTTACCCACCTCAAGATCTCCCGGACTACAGAAGGGGGAAGGGAGGTGCCCGTGGAGATCAGAGTTGGGAAAATTGCCCTCCACCCTCCCTCCTCCACTCTGGGCGGGCGGGCATGTAAAGCTCAGCCAGGCCACCCACCTCCCAGCCTTCTAGGTGGCACGGCTGCAGGTAACTCGTTCCTCAAAGCCGCATGGAGCCACAGAAGCCCTCTCATCCACCCCTTCTGTCTCACAGGAGAAACAGGCTGGGGAAGGGAGAGTCCTGGATTCCTGGGATTCGAGAGCACCCCAACCTGCTCCAGCCTACCTGTTCTAGAGGCTGCTGGGAGGGAAGTGTCCTGGCTGGCCCCGCCTTAGGGTGAATTAGAAGAGGTGACCAGGGGAGACTCTGGTCTCCCACTTCTTTCTCTGCTGGGGCCCTACTTCTGGGCCATATCCCCTTCCAGGAGCCACCAGATCATGGTGCTGGAAACGGTCTCCCTGGTGCACAGCTGGCCTGGGCGGCCCACGCTTTCTGTCCTAGGGCCAAGAGGAGCCCGGGAGGGAGGGAAAACCCCACCCCACTCCAGAGCTCAGGGCTCCTTGGCTTTATAAATTCACTGTCTCCTTAAGATTTTAGAGGGAAACATGTACCATGGCTATATCCCCACCTGAGCCTGTATGACTGGGGAAACTGAGGACTTGTAAGGATTTAGTCTAAGATGGAATCATTAGCAGCAGAGTGTTCCCTTTTCGGTCTCTCTCTCCCTGATACACACACACACACACACACACACACACACGCACGCATGTATGCACGCACGCGTGCGCGCACGCATTCTCTCTCTCACTCCTGGCCAAGACCATGAGCACGCTCACATTCACCACACTCAAGAAAAGAGTTTTCTATTTTTTTTTTGTTATTTTTCATTTTCTTTCTTTTTTTTTTTTCTTAAAAAGCACTTATCCAAATATCTGGATAATAAATCATTTGCGTTTCCTAAGAAACTGGGTTTTTCTTTTCCCTTGTGGTTTTGGTGTTTTTCTTCTTCTTCTTCGAGCCTTACTAGCGGTATGAAGCTTTCTTTCTTTCTTTCTTTCTTTCCTTTAAGTTTTGGACAGGAGAAAGCAGTCTGTCTGAACTGTACTTGACTCTTCAAAGAGGAAAATGGTGTGAAGACAGAGGGCTTAGGGAGGAGGGAGAAATCAATAGCTGAGGAAGAAAACGAAGAACAAAACTAAAAAATACTTAACCCAGAGGTCCCAGGGCGGCATGTGGAGGAGGGAGGGCCACCCCCTAAGTGTTTCCAGAGGCCTCAGCCCCACTCCGGCTTCTTCACGAAGGTCTGAGGCCAGGAGACACAGCAGGGGTGGGAAGGAACACCAGGTCCTCCCGACACCAGAGTACACGGAATTCCTAAGGCTGGTTGTGGTCTGGGGGTGGGGCAAGGGAGGAGGAGTAGGGGTGACTCTGGCTGTGAGCTGGGGGCAGCAGAGGCTGACCTGCCCCATAGGAAGCTGCCTGGACTCCCTGCACCCGCCTCCTGCCAGTTCCTACGAGCCCGCAGTCCGGGACAGCTCAACAGTCCCCATCAGTGGCCATGGCCACCAGCATCTCGCTCTTGCCCATCTCCTCCAAGGCACTCGCCAGGCTGTTGAGGTCCCCGTCATCCTGCTGCAGAGCTTCCCAGAGGTCCAGGATCACACCTGTGGGGCTTGCTTTGGTGGCAAAGTAGTTCAGGTACCTGGCGGAGGGAAGAAGGACACCGGGCTGCCCAAAAGTTCAACACCTCCCAGAAGCCTGGGCGTGGGGAGAGCACGGGGAGGTGGGAAGACCGTGGGCTCTGGGGTCCCACAGTCCTGGGTCTGAGTCCCAGGCCCTCGGCCTGCAGGCTGTGTGGCCTTGGGCAAGTGACTGTACCTCTCTGAGCTTCAGTCTCTTCAGCTTTAAAACAGAAACTGTCTAGCTGGCTGTCATTCATCATCTTATTATTATCACTGAAAGACACTGGCCCCAGGAGAGACTCAAAACCTTGAACTCTATTATCTCTTCCTCCTACCTTTGTCCTCTGCCCGATCTCGCCCCATGCACTTCCCTGAGAGCAGGAAGAAAGCCTTAGAGAGCTTTGTGAATCCTACCCATTTCTGATAAGATGTCTTAAAAAAAAAAAAAAAAAAAAGATTTATTTATTTATTTCTTAATTTATTTTTAGAGAGAGGGGAAGGGAGGGAGAAAGATCGATGTGAGAGAAAAACATCGAGATTGGCTGCCTCTCCTATGTACCTTGGCCAGGGGGTTGGGGGACCAAACCCACAACTTAGGCACATGCCCTGACTGGGAATCAGACCAGCAACCTTTCACTTTGTGGGAGGATGCCCAACCCACTGAGCCACACTGGTCAGGGCTCTAAAAAGATGTCTTAAAACTGGCATGTGCTCAATGCAGGTTTGTTAAATGGTTTCTCAGTAAGTATAACATCATTAATGATGATGATTATTGCTATCATATTTACCCAGCATTTTAAGTTCTCCAGCCACCCTCAGCAAGCGTTTCCAGGACACCCGCTCTGTCCTGGGCCCTGGGGTGCTGATGGTGCTCACATGTAGCTGGTGCCTGGCTTTATCTGACTGTCATAGGCCAGTACGACAAGCACAATGCTTCTCAAGGAATGGGTGTTTCAGACTTAGCATCCTCCAAGGAGAGCGGAAGTGGGCTGCAGTTTGGGTGGGCCAGGCCGGTGTCCCGACACTTACCGGTCCATGGAGAGCTTCTTCGCCAAGAGGCGCCAGTCATTGCCCCGTGAGTTGGGGGCGTCCAGGCTGTTGCATATCTTTTGGCGGATAGACAGCGGGATCTTGAAGGCATAGGGTCCCAGCTGGGTGGTGAGTGTGCCGCTAGGGGCAGAACAGAGGGCATCCAGGGAGCCAGCAGGTGTCTGGAAGGGCAGGGGTCACGGGTGAGAGAGGCGAAGGTCTCCCATGCACAGTGCTGGGCATCTGCCCCTGTAAGCCTTCCTGCCTTGAAACTATGAGCACACGGAGGCTCCATTCAGCCCTTACCTCATCTGGATAGACCCCAGCTGCTTAGTCAAAGGCCTTCTCCCTTGGAGGGTCAGACCCCAAGGGCCAGCGCTGCATGCCCAACCCCCAGCCCTCCAGGGGTACACCGTGCTAATGTACTGCCCAGGGTGAATGTTCATGCAGCCTCAAGACTGCATGCCATGAGGAGCCCAGCCACAGTTTACATACGTGGAAAATGAAGTCTAGAGCGGGAACAGGAAGTGACTTGCCCAGGGTCCCATGCCAAGCTAGTGGCAGAGCTAGGTCTAGACCTGTATCTAGTGCTCTTTACACTGCACTACCAGGAGGGTCGAGCGCTGCCCCCCTGGGTGGCCTGGTTTTTGTGGACCTCAGTACAGATTTATAGTGGTGGATAGAGAACCGCAGGCTTGGGCCAAGCAATGACCTGACACAGGGTCGATGGTACCTGCCGTCCCTGAAACCTACTTTTTCATTTCCCATCTCCCCACTAGATGGGATCACTGGATGTCTCCCTGGTGGAGATCTAGTGAGATAATCTATGTCGCTTGGTATAGAACATGTCAAGCACAGAATAGGCATTCAACAAATGGTAGCTGTTAGCAAAATGTGACCAAGTCCCAGCTCAGACTTGGGGGTTGAGGGGGACGTCGTTGTGGCAGATGGCATTTCCACTCAGATGCAGAGTGAGCATGGCGGTCTGCATGCTGTGCCCCCAGCCCTCACCTCTGCCAGTGTGGTGTGCAGCTGGAATATCTGGCCTTCCCCTTCCACCTGCCGCACGCAGATCTTGCAGGTGAACTCTGTGGCGGCCAGGCTGTGCCTCTCCAGGGTAAAGGTGCAGTGAAGGGCCTTCTGGCTGCCACTCCAAATGTGATAGAAGGGGATCTCCTGGGGAGGGAGGGGAGTCAGGGTCAGGGAGACAAGGCCAGCCTTCCCCGGCCTCAGGGAAAGGAGGTGGAGGTAGGTAATGGGCCCAGTATCTGGAGGGCTGGGCCTCTCGGTGGGGCAGTGCAGACCTCCCCACTAGATGGGCAGAGGGAGAGCCAGCCAAGGATGCTTCAGCTGAGAAAGGGACGAAGGTGGCACAAGTCTGAATGTCTGAGTGTCTGTGTGTATGCACGTGTGCCTGGGGCTGGAAAGCCAATGGACTCAGCGGTGTCACAAGGACGCGACCATGGTAGATAAGTTCGCACAGTCTGCCAGGCGTAAGGGCTCTCAGAGATGGTTGAAGGAGACGCAGACGGACATTTACGCATGGGGGATGTGTGGTGTGGGTGGGACTGCGAGCGTGGCCGTCAATGGTGCTGAACGTGGGGATGTGCCTAAGGATGACTGGGAAGGGGGCGTGGCGAGGCGGTGGGAGGGAGCCGGAGATGGAGGGGCGAGGCTGCAGGGCTGAGGAAGGAGCAGAGCCTGGCAGGGGAGACTGGCCTTTCCTGGGCAGATCCCAAGTGTGCCCTCACCCCAGCCCCAGCCCTCCCCCTCCCTCAGCCCAGCCCTCACCTGGTATTTGGCCAGCAGCTTGCTCCTCCAGTGAGCATGGGCGATGTCGTGCAGGGAGAGGCGCAGGTTATGGTAACTGTTCTTAAACAGCAGGGGTTTGGGCTCCTCCACAAGGTAGCCGCCCAGGGTCCGCTCCAGCTCCAGTACCTCCTGTGGGTCAGGGTGCGGGGCAACAGGAAGGGGGAGCCCATCATACTTGGCCAATGGGCCTCTTCCTACTGTAAACTTGAGAGCGGAGACAGATTTGGGCAGAGGGAACCAGGCTGTGACTTGCAGGCAGAGACCAACCTGAGCACAGGGCTGGCCACTTGGGAAGTACTCATCTTACAAGGCTTGTGTGGACACATGGATGAATTGACAGAAAAAAATGGATAGATAAATGAATGAATAGTGGGATGGATGTATAAATGGATGGCTAGAGGGACTGATGAATGAATGGACAGATGGATGGATAAAGAGAGAGATGAACAGGTAGGCACAGAGATGGATATACAAATGGATGGATATAAAAGAGAGGAACAGATGGAAGGGATGGTAAATGGATGGATGTTTGAAGGCTGGATGAACAGAAGACTGTTGACTGAAAGAGAATATAGACAGACGGGTAGAAAGTTAGTTGGATGGATGGACAGACGGACCAGGGCTGAGTAAACAAAGAGTACCAGCAAGCCAAAACGTGGCAACTTCCCCCTTAATCTCCACTCCGTTCTCTGACCAAAGCTGGCCATTAGCCCAGGCCCCAGTACCAAGAGATCCAGGCCACAAGGCCATTTCCCAGGAGTCTCCAGCCCATTATGGGCCCTCCTGGAATTTCAGGCCAGCATGGTCCCAGCAGGAGACACTCACTCTCCCATGAGGCCTTTTCACCTCTGTTGCATCAGTTGTCAACTTGGAGCTTGAGACAAGTTACATGAGACTGGGAGCAAAGGAACAGGAAAGGAGCAGCTGTAAACAGGTGTCCTCCCGGTCTGTGCCCCTGCCCACTGGACAAATTCCAAATTCTTTGGCATGGCCCCGACAGTGTTGGGAAGCTGAGCTCTGTCTCTCCAGCCCCGTCTTTCTCCCTCACACACCTCCTGCAAGCTTTGGTCACACGGACACACACACACACTTTTGGGTCAGCTGCCCTCTCTCCTGGAATGCCCTTCATCCTCTATGTGGCATGCCTACTTCTCCTTTGGAGCCTGCCAGCTCTGCTATGAAGCCTTCTCACAGGCCCCCTCCCCAGCAACCTGGGCCCTGAAACCCCCTTCCAGGCTGGTGCCCCCTCGGCCCTCTGGAAGACCACCGTCAGGGACCCCCTCTTTATGGCCCACCTCGAGCCCGGAGATTGGAGAGGGCAGGACCTATGCCTGATTCATCCCTGTATCGAGAGAGTGTGATGCCATTTCAATGTTTGAGGAATGCCTGAGCAGCTGATTGAGGCTGATGGAGGATTGCCCGGAAGGTACCATGGTCTCGGGGAGGGGGATACTAGAAGGTACCATGCAGCTGGCTGGCTGTGGGGGATGTACCTAACAGGGTTCCAGGGCTGTGTGGGTACCTGTGGCCTGGCCTTACCTTCAATGCCACAGGCGTGTCCTCCAGGCAGTAGACCCTGAGGCTGTACTCCAGGGATGTGCAGAGGGCCGGGGCGAAGATGGCCAGCTGGAGCCGCTTGACTGCCGAGCGGGAATAGGACTCTCCCGTGAACACATAGGTGCCCAGCTGGTCTAACAGGATGTGGCAGGACCTGGCCTCCAGCTGGCAGTAGCAAGGGGTGTCCAGGGTCTCCTCGTCCAGGGTCACCACTTCCTGCAAGGTGAGAGTTAGAGTAAGGCACAGGTCACCGTCAAGGCCCTGGAGGGGGTCCATCCAGCTTAGGCCAGGGGAAAGGAGGCAGGTTCAGATAGTGGGTCCGGCGCCCCAACTTTGGCTCCTTACCTCCCAGTGGCCTTGGTGGGCCTGGGTCTTGAGCTGGAAGATCCAGTTGCTGGCACTGACTTCGGCACAGTGGGGCACCGTGAGAATGACAGGGCGGCACAGCAGGAGGCCTGTGGGCCCACAGGTCACCGAGGGGCTCAATACTGTCTGGGTCCCTTCCAAAAGTGGGCTGGGGGAAGGTGGGAGGCAGTGAGGGGAGGACTGAAGAGCTCAGCCAGGGCTTAGATGAGTGTTGGGCCCCCACTTCTGTCCCTGCTCCTGGGGTGACAGAGGGCAGGTCCCTACCCCTAGGGCTACCAGAAGTCAGGGGTTAAGGAGAGGCAAAGAAATGGCATAGACCCTCAGATTGTTTCCAGGCTTTTGCTATCACATTATGACATTCTCACAGCCAAACCTTTGCTCACATTTTCAAAGATTTTACACTCTTAAAATATTTTTAGGTGTTGCTAAACTGTCCTGTAGAGCCCTGGCTGGTGTGGCCCAGTGGGTTGAGCGCTGGCTTGTGAACCGAAAGGCTGCCAGTGTGATTCCCAATCAGGGGCCATGCCCCTGGCAGGGTCGTGGGCCAGGTCCTCAGTGAGGGGTGTACAAGAGGCGATCGCGGCCAACTGATCGGTTTCTCTCACACGTCGATGTTTCTCTCCCTCCCTTCCTCTCTCTTTGAAAATAAATAAATAAAATACTTCTAAAAACACACAAAAAATGTCCTATGGAAAGCTGGTACCACTCTACACTCTCACCAGCATGCCATGTATGGCTGTGTTCCATGCTTTTGCCAGTATGAAGGCATTATTGTTTGAAAAAAAATCTTTACAAACTCACAAAGCAGAAACCTTCCAATGTCTCATGGCTGTTTGGGTAACTATTTGATTACAAGTTACGTTAAACAATTTCTCATACATACTGGCCAGTGTGTGTGTGTGTACACGTGTGTATACATAACAATGTGTGTAAATCACTTGTTTATATTATTTGCCCATTTTTCTACTGAGATGTTCAATTTTTCTTATTGGTCTTTAAAACCTGCTTACATAGTAAGGAGATTAGACTTTTGTCATACTGTGGCCAGTGTGCTTCCCCCATTAGGTGAGTGTTCCAGCAACCCGTCTGTGTCAGTGGACCAGCTGGCATTGTTGTGAGAGGCTGCATTCGGCCTCAGTGAAATTTTTTTTGAAGGTTTTCAATGTGTTTGCCCATTTCATGACAGGTGATTTACGAGCGCACCTGCCCACACTGTGCTAAGTGTGCAGCAGTTTTTGACCCAAAATGGGCATGATCCCTGTGCCCCAATCTCCCAATTCACCTGATTTCACCCTGAGTGACTTTGTTTTCCCGGATGAAAAAAGTGTCCTTAAAGGGAAAAGTTTTGCCGATGTGGAAGAGGTAAAACAAAAAACAAGAGAAGCACTAAAAGGCATCAAAAAATCGATGAGTTCAAAAACTGTTTTGAGCAGTGTAAAAGAAACATCTCAACAGGTGTATTGCATCAAATGGGAAATACTTTAAAGGTGACTGAAGTTTGAACATGTAAGAATACACACACAATTTTTTATAAGTAAGTTCTGATTTCAGGGGGGGTTCCCTCTCATGATTTGTTGTGCTGGTTCTGCAAGTTTTAGATGTAGACATAAGAAGGTCTTTCAGTGTTTTCCTTGGAGGGCTGATGCTGGCCTTAGGAGCGGCCTTAGAAAGGGAGAAGGTGATGGTTTGAGCCCAGGGCAGGCAGGCAGCAGGGAGAGAGATAGAGCGGGGGAAGCCCGGGCCAGGGCTGGGGTCCCTCTACTCACAGGGTGCTTTCTGCTTTGTTGATAAGGAGGTACATTTCGTAGAACTTGCCCTGGGGGATCGCTCCATTGGGTACCAGCAGGCTGACCCCTAGGAGGAGAGGGAGGTCAGCAGGGAGTGGCTGAAGGGAAACCAGGAGCTTAGAACAGAGGGTGGGGGCTGTGCTCTCAGCCTGGGGCAGAGAGAAAGACATCCCGACAAGGCTCCAGGTGGTCACCAGCAGGGGACGGGGAGAGAAGGTCTGGGGACTGCGTGCAGGCAGAGGCCAGGCCACTGACCACAGAGGGCTTGTCGGTGGCACAGGGGCCTCCGGCACTGCGGTGGGGTGTACACGTGGGACAAAGACCTGGAGTCGGAAGGTCTCAGGGCTGGCTCCGGCCTTGGGTATGATGCTGGGTAACTGTTAACGGCTGGCTGTGCGCCATGTGATGGGCACCCCTGCCTTCTGATGCCCAAACCTAGACAGCTCCGCAGGTGAGTTGAGCTTCATGGGCTATTCCCCCTCAATTAACAGACGAAAAGGCTGAGGTTTAGAGAGTGGCTGGGCCAAGGCTCCCCCTCCCCCCCAGCAGTGAAGCGGAGGCAAGCCTCACACCGAGACCTTCTGCTTTATAGTCCCGTCTTTCCCTGGGCCTCACTCTGTCCACCTGTGAAGTGGGAGCAGGGGAGTCCCATCTTCTGCTGGGGCTGACCAGGGGATGTGCCAAGGACAGACTGACCAGCAAGCAGAGAGGGACCCACCTGTGCCAGGGATGCTGAGCCTCCCGCCCAGGCAGCCAAAGGTGCCGCTGACACTGCTCCCTGGGTCACGGGGCAGGCCCAAGAGCTGCTGGGAGCCGAGGCTGGCACTGCGCAGGTGCAGGAAGTGGGTGTCCCGGGAGAAATCGCCAGGGTACGTGCCGGGCGGCAGCACCCCCAGCAGGTCAGTCCCGTCTGGCAGGCCTGACCCAGAACCAGTGGTGCTGGAGCTGCAGACCTTGATCTTGAGGTTGGGCAGGGGGTCCAGCAGGGGCGAGTTGGTCATGGGGATCTTGTCAGCCGAGTCCTGCAGGGCGTACACGGGCCCTCGGTAGATGCCGGCAGTGGCTGTGAGGTCCGGAGGCACAGAGGGGTGCAGGAGCTGGGGCTGGTCTGCGGGGACAGCGGCTACAGTCTTACCCAGACGTGCCTCACTGGCCCACCCCCACATTCTGCTCCTGCCTGGGGCCCTCCTGTTGCAAAACCCCACGCAGATACCAGCTGTGAAAGGCTTTGGGGACTCACCAGCCTGGGTTACTCCTTTCCTTTTCTGCACCTCTCTAATCCATACCAGTCCACATAGTGACCTCTAGAACTAACTCTGGAAAAACCCCAGATGGGAGTTAAGAGCCCTCGCTCTGGTCCAGCTGGTCTGTCTGCCATGCCCCACGGGGTGCCCTGTCCCCATCTGCCAACCCAGGTGTTCCCGGGTTCTTACTGGGCCGTGCAGTCTTGAAGTTGACTGGGTGGAAGCCTCCAGTGAGGGCAGCGGATGAATCGGTGATGTCGGTGTCCAGGTCACGGCAGTTGCGGCGGTACACCACCACCCCCACCACCATGAGGACGGCCACCACCACGAGGATGGACACCACGATGCCGGCATACAGTGCCACATCCCCCGAGGACTCCAGGACTGCAGGGACAGGAGGGCTGCGTGAGGGGCAGGGGCAGAGACCCAGGCAGGCCCCGGAGGAGCAGGGAGGCCCAGGGTCCCTGGGGAGAAGCAGGCCTGGGTTCTAGTCTGATCCCTGCCACGACAGGCTGGTGACCTCGGGCAAGACTTGAACCGCTCTGAGCACCAGCCTCTACAAGTAAAATGGTCTCAAAACCTCTGCCCTGCTCCCCTCTCAGCGTGGCAAGGAGAGGCAAAGTGACTCTTGGCCACGCCCAACGGTAAATCGTTGCTCACTGCTGAGGAGCAGACAGGGTCTGTGATTCAGTCACTGGGGCCACGGTCTGTCCTGTTGGAGCCGGTGTCAAAACCAGAGTCTCACTTGCAGCCTGTGGCAATCTCCAGAGGACCAGAGGGCCAGGCTCCTGGCAAAGCTTGCAAGTGGTGGCTCTGGACTCCCTGCCACCCGCCCTCCCCCCCACCCCCGTCCCCGTCTTCCATCCTGTCCTAAGGGGCGGGAGGGGGACGGCGAGCAGCCAGAGGGGAATGAGATGCAGGACAATGGGGTGAAGAGGTGAGCAGGTGGAGGGGAAGGAAGGGGCTCGGGGGGCAACCCTTGGCTAGAGTCCCCTCCCCCAGGTAGGGCACTGGGGTGGAGGACACCCAGCTCTGACGCGGGGCAGGGCAGAACGCTGCACATCTGGAAACAACTCCACATAGCCAGCTAGGGAGAGGTCAGGGTCAGGACCCAGGGCCTAGTGAGGCTGTCTAACAGAACTTTCTAGGTTGATGGAGACATTCTATGTCTGCGCTGTCCCACATGACAGCCACCAGTCACAGGCGGCCACCGAACCGCTGAAATGTAGCCAGTGAAACTTAAGAACTGAATTTTAAAGTGTATTTAACTTTAAGTAAGGTAAATATAAGTTTATATAGCCATGTATGGCTAGTGGCTAGCACCGTGGAGCACAGGCAGCGCCGTCCACTCTCTCCCCTCCCTGGGCCCTCCTAGGCCTGCCTTCCCTGCCCGGATCCCTTCAAGTCCCACTCCCCTGGGGCAGGCCTGAGCCTTTAACAAGGTGGGGTCTGACAGCTACTCACTTTCTCGGCTTCTGGCTCCCTATCTGGCCTCAGTAGCCCTCAGGGCTGGGCTCTGCCTCCTGATGTCTTTGCTAACCACTGGGGGCCACTGGCCTGAAGATTTATGTTCTCTAATTAGTCAACAGCTTGGCCCCGCAGTGAGCTGAGCTGAGGGGCTCACTGCTGATTTTATGACTCCAGAATTATTTGGAAATTGTGGATTAGTTACCACAGGCCAATCTCCCTAAGCGGCTGTATTGCTCTGGTATTAGTGCAGTGCAGCCTCTCGGGGGCTAGAGGCCGAGCCCCTTGGGGCTATAGGCAGCCCAGAGAACCTGGGAGGCTTTGGCCCGGCTGCCGGGGGTACCATGCGGAGCACTGTGATGGACAGGCGTGGGCCTGCCCTCTGGCCCTGTCCCAGACAGGGAAGGCCAAGGGGGTGGGGCTAAAAGCATTGGATTTGACCAGGAACACATCTGAGTTCAAACCCGGGCTGGATGCCTGGGTAAGTCCTTTCTCTTTGAGACTCAGTTTCTCCTCCTGTAATGAGAGGGTCGGGGTGATGCCCGAGGGCCTTTCAGCCGAGGGTCTCCCTGTCTGCCATGTAAACGAGGCCATGACACCCACAGCGCCAGGTCCTAGGAACCCCGTGGAGGGCTGGTGGAGAGGCGCCTTCAACGCGCCCTGCCCTGTTCTCCCCCCACACACCCTGGAAAAGTCAGCCAAGGAGAAAGGAAAGAGGACAGCCATGAAATGGGACTTACGGTGGCTTTTGGGGTCACTTAGAGTTTTCTTATCTGTCAAGGGAAATAAAGGGAAAGACAATGACACAGCTGGCAGAAAAGATGGTAGAGAGACTGATGGAGAACGGCATGGATGAGAGGATGCATGTGGTGGGTGGGCAGAGGCCCCGAGGGGCTGCTCCACTGCAGGCTGGGGACTGAGGCCTGGGGTGAGGCTGGGGGCATCCCTCCTCCGGCTCCGGAGCCCCCGCCCTGGGGCCCCGTTTTCCCGAGGACTCACTTTGCATGCACAGCCCGCCGGTGCAGTTCTTGGAGTCGAGCAGAGTCCCGCTGCAGTCTCGGCCTCCGTTCTGGGGTGGGGGCGCCATGCACTCTCGACTGCGCCAGTGGGCACACTCGGTGCTACAAGCCGACCACTTGCTCCACTCTGTCCACGCTCCATCCACTGCAGGAGCATAGCACATGGCACATGGGAACACATGCACGCATAGACATGTGCACACACAGTACGCTCCACACAGGCTGTACAGAGAAATCCACGCCATATCCACACAGCCCCGTACCCACACAGAGTCAGGTGCACCAGGTGGGCAAAGAGAACACAAGTAGATGTGTAATGTCACTCGTACAGATGCAGCCCAAAGCACAAGTATATACACAAGGGTACAAATCCAGGGTGAAAACACCATACCACTCACACAAACATGTAACCAAAGAGAGCCCACAGACAGACAGGCATGGACAGACATACAGATGGAGATGCAGTCAGACAAAGACAAAAGGACAATAGGACACTAGGATCAGGGTCAGCAGCCACGGTGTGCCTGACAGTCAAGTGCAGGACCCCTGCCCAGACCCCAGCTCAGAGCCTCTGCCTCCATCTCTCCAGCAGCCCAGGGAGAACCAAGGGGATGGAGGTCATAGCACCTATTCCAGCCCTTTCAGCCAGCTGTGGGCCCTGGGACAAGCACCCGCTGTCCCTCACGATGGGAAGAGAGTGGCTGTCCTCGCTGGCAAACACCACAGCACAGAAGACAGGGCTGGGAGTGAGGCATGGGCCTGGATGTGGCAGAGTATCACTGGGCCAGAGGCGCTACCTGGGCACACGGTGGTGCAGGAAGTCTTCTGGACGGCCTGGCCCTCACAGAAGGCTCCTCCGTTGAGCGGGGTGGGGTTGGTGCAGGTCCGTGTGCGCTTCTGCCAGCCGCGGCCACAGCGGTTAGAGCAGGGTGACCATTCTTCCCAGTTGGACCATCCGCCGTTCACTGTTGGGGCAGTGGGTGTCAACCTGTTGGCCTGGTTCTGTGACCCATGAACCCCTAAACCCCATCCCCCCACCCTTCATGAGTCTTCTGCTGAGGCTGGCCCTTCCTAGTTAGACCCCTCCTGCCTGCACCAGAGGGCACCTGCAAAGTCACTGGCTATTCTCCGCCCCATTGTACAAAGGTCAATGGAAGTCCAGAAAGGGCTGACACCTAGGATCACCCCGTGAGTGATGGGGAACCTGTGACTGGAACCCAGTACAGGGTTCTTTCTACAACACTCAAGGCGTCTTGGCTGTGGCTCCACCTCTCCCACCCAAGGGGATGGCAAGGACAAACCTGCAGGCCTGGCCAGCAGACACTAACTCTGCTAGGACAACAGGCTCGGGTACAGGGATGCCGACTGGGCCCTGCCCCAGCTCTGACTCCAAGAGAACTGGGTCTTCTCCTTCAGGGACCGGCAAAGGGTCTGAGAAGGGGTGAAGGCTCCTGGCTAGGGACTCTGGGGTGCCTGACTTGACCACTAGTTTGCTATGTAACCTTGGGGGAGGCACCGCTCCCCTCTGGGCTTCCTCCTCCCCATCTATTCCCCAGGATCCTGCTGGTGTCCTGTGTAGGGGGGGTCCGGTGGCCATCTAGCCTTGGGCTCTCCCCGCTCCCTCAGCCACGCCCGGCCCCCACTCTGGCCCGCACCATAGACGATGATGGTGGCAGTGGTGCTGCGACGTGTGGCGACCATGTTCTTGGCCACGCAGGTATAGTTGGCCGTATCCGACAGGCGGGCCTGGCGGATGATGAGGTTGTGGTCAATGGTGAGCAGGAAGTTGGTGTCCTGGGTGGGGTCAATGATGTCCTCATTCTTGAGCCATTCTACCTGCAGGAACAGGGTTGAAGGGCATGAGGACCCAGTGCCTGCTCCCCTGTGTCCCGGGAAGTGGGCCATAAACACAGGGAGGTCTGACCATAAACAGGAGAGCAGTTTTATCCACGTCAACCTACAGTGGTGACAGAGTGAGGGAGAACCTCCACAAGCCAGGCACTGTGTCGCGCACTACAGGGCGCAATGGGGAAGACGGCCGGCCACCTGCCAGCCTTGGGAAGGGACTTACACTTTGTCTCAATGTCATCAAATCTGAGAAGAAATTTAATAATAGCATTTATCCTATAGGGCTGTTGTGAGGATTAAATGAGTTACTATGGTAAGAGCAGCATAGTACCTGGCTCACAGTAAATATAAAATAAGTGTTAGCTAGTAGTTCATGCTTTTGTAACTCTTCACACTGACTCCCCCAGCTACAGTGAGAGGCCTGGCAGGTGATTGAGAACATGATCCCTGGGTTCAAATTCCAGCTCCGCCACTCGCTGGGTCACCCTGGGAGGCCACTTCACTCCTCCCAGTGCTACTTTCCCAGCCATAAAATGGGATGACGACATCCACCTTGCAGGACTGCTATGAAGACCAATATGCCAAGTGCCCAGCACACGTGGGGGCCCAATGAGAGACAGCTGTCACCCAATGTGTCTGTCTGAGCCTACTGTACAGACGAAGGCACGAGCTGGGGGAGGCTGAGTGGTTAGAGCAGAGTTTTGGGGTCACATGGGCTGATCCCAAGCAGGAAAAACAGGGTCCCATGTTCTGCGGGCGTCCCTGGCAGCAAAGCTGAGCTGTCCCCATGCCCTGCTCTAATTCCTGGATCAGCAGTGCAAGGGGTGGGAGAGGCGACCTGTCTGGAACACAGCAAGGGTGGTGAGAAGGGACAGGTGGGCACTGCACAGGGATGCAAAGGCCATATGGTAAGGGAGAGGTGGCCAGCTTGCGGGCTGAGTACACACTCAGAACATGCATTATGAGACCCTCTGCTGTCCAGAAAGCTGGGCCTTGGGTGTTGGGTGGGGCGGGGCAGGTAGATGGTATATATGGCCACTTCCTTTGAAGGAGACTGAGCCTGTGGCCTACCCAAGGAGCCCTGGGGGTTCCCACCCCAGCTCTACTCCATCCCACGGGCTTATGCCTGCAGAGGGCCCAGCAGGGGTCTGGCATGTGCTGAGTTCTGCAGAGGCTGTAGTTCCTTTCGCTGTGAAACAGGGAGTGCGCTGGGAGCCTGAGGCATCATGGCTGGCGGTAGATACCATGCCCGAGCTTCCCCATGTCCCCACTCTCACCTCAGCCACAGGCACCCCCTCCGGTGGGCGGCACTGCAGGAGAACCTCATGGTCCAGGGGGACTTCCTTGCTCAGAGGCTCCTGGTCGAAGTTCTTGCGCAGATCTGGGGAAAGGGAGAGGGCAAGGCGCTCTCAGGGAGGCCAGTCAGGCAGAGCGGGAGACTGAAGTTCCCCATTCTAGCCACAAGGTGGCAGTGCAGACCCAGGGAATATTCACAGGGACCCACCTGACTTTTACCTGGGAACTACTAGCTTCTCCAGAGTGGGGCCTTATCAAGTGAAGTTGCAGAATAGGGTTCCCTCCCTGACTATGGGGTTCACGTCCAGTGGACATGGTGGCCTGGGATGGTGAGGAAGCCAGCAGCTTCCTTAACTAGATGTAGGCGAAAACAGGCCTTTACAAATCTGTAGGCCAGAAGGGGCCCAGGTTCTGGGTCTGGAAGCCATTACTGAGCTGGCATCCATGGGCCCTGATGTCTCTGTGGTGGGCATCTGCAGCCAGATACCCCCGCAGATGGGGACTTCCCTCTACAATATCCACAGGGAAGGGGAGAGGGCCTGGGGAACGGAGCGGGGGGCTGTCAGCGTGGCCTACATGCGATGCGGACATAGGCCCGGCGGCTCCTGGTGGTGCCCGCGGAGCTCCAGGCCACGCACTGGCACCAGTAATCCTCCAGCCCGAAGAGTTCCTCCACCTGCTGTCGAGACACCTCGATTTGCACCTCTCGCACCGGCAGGCCTGGGAGGAGGGGAGAGGAACCGTCAGGGGGCAGGTCTGAGGACACACGACAAAGGACACGGCACCAAGACATCTCTCTCCTTCCTACCTGAGGCCTTTTGGCTCTTCTGCCAAGTGTCTCTCATTTCCATCTATTTTTCTCATTTTTCTTGCCTCCACCCTGACCCTAGCCACCACTACAAATTGCAATGGCTACAACAAGCCGTCTTTCCCCATCCTATCCACTTCCCACCCTGCAGCCAGTGCGTGCTCTTTAAAACGCACATATGGCATGTCATTCCCCCGGATGTGTCTCCAGTCCTCTCAGCATCAAGACCCAGACCCTCTGCCTGGCCCCCAGGCCTTGTACAACCTGCTCACGACAGCCTCACCCAGGGGCATCTTCCACTCCCTGGTGTTACCCTGTCCCCTCTTGCCACAGGGTGTTTGCACATCCAGTACCTTGCTTGGAACTCTCTTTTGTCCTCTCTGTCCAGTGAACTCCCAGGCGGCTTTGGGCTGGGTCTCACTTCTGGAGGGAAGCCCCCCGACCCTGGCCCATACCCACCCGGGTGGCTCCGAGTGGCCCCCCGCCCTGCACCAGACACTGTTCTGTGCAGTTATCATTCCTGCCCTGCCCCCCGACCACTGTCTGGAATTGTATTAATTATTGATGCATTCACGTATTAACTCTCTATCTCCCACAGGAGAAAGAGCAGGGGCTCTGCCTGTTTGCTGCTGTGATCTAAAAGAGAGGCTCAGTGCACGTCTGAAGAGAGCATGAGGCCTCTCCCTGATCATGGCTCAGGAGCCCGTGGAGCTGGAGCTGAGGGGAGGGCGCTCTTCCTGGGAGCCCCTGGCTTCTCACTGGTTCCCTGCCAGGCCGTATAGGCCTCCCTGGATAACTGCATCCACTAGCCCACTCAACTCTTCTGACAACTCTTCCTTGACAAAGCCTATGCTCAGGAAAAAAGTGTGCCCTCCTGAATTAGGGCGCTCCTCTGAGGTTCCTCCCCAAAGCTTGTGGGAGAATGGTAAAGCCTCCTCATCCAGGAAGCCCTCCTTGCCTCCCCAGCCCCAGAATTCCTAATGCTGTTCCTCCTTGCCATGATGTGCCCCGGTGCACCCTTTCATGGTTGCACATAGGTTCTGATAAGCCGCTTGAGGGCAGGACCGTTGACTGTACTCATGTGGTACTATGGCATGGTGGTTAAGAGTAAAGCTGGACAGGTGGACGAATTCAAATCCTGGCCTCACTCCCACTCCCTGGCTGTGTGATCTTCATGAAGTTATTTAGCCTCCCTGAGCCTCAGTTCCCTCATCAGAGTAAAACACACAGGACGAACTCTAAAGGAGTCACGGCCCTTACTCTGCCACGGCACACAGCTAAAGCTGGACAGGAGTCAACTGTCAGAGCATGTGGATCTCAGCCAGCCCCTTCCTTTTACATTTGGAGAAACTGAGACTCCGAAAGGGTAGGTGGCAGGCCTAGAGTCCCACAGCAAGTTGCAAGCAGAGTGGAGGTCAGCCCTCCTGGTGTCCTGCCAGGTTCTAGCTCTTCCCTAACACATGACGTCTCTCTGGACCTCTTCCAATGAAGTCATTGCCTTAACTCTCTTGCATCGTGGCGGAGGGGCTCTCCCTGGGAGCCCCTCCTGGTGTCCAGGGCTATAAATGGGAGGGGGCTAGGGTTTGTTGTTGGGGAGCACCAGGAGGGAAGAAGCTGCTTTGGGAGTGGGTGGGGGGCTCTGCCCCCTTGCAGCGGCTGCCTGGAATGCTGGCCCAACAAGTGATGCTCCGTGGCCTGGGGCAGGGGAGCAAGGTCCCTGGCCCTTATTTGCCAGGTGGTGAGCCTGGAACAGTGGTTCCTCTCAAGGGGACCATCCATCCAGAAGGTTTCAGCAACACCCACCAGCTGGACAGATGGAAACGATCACCCTGGGGAGCCTGACACCGTGGTAATAGTCCCAGCAGGCAGGGAGGATGACGGGGCCTTCAGTCTCCTAGACTTGGGCCCCAGCACCAGGTGGCCTCCCCAGCATGACGGCAGTATAGCAGGTGGTGCCCCTGAGCCAGGGCACAGAACTGGGCTGCCTGCCCCAGCCTGGCATGAGCTGCCACCAGTCCCGCCTGTCCTGGCCCAAAGCTGCCGTCCTCTGCGCTGGCAGGGCCTCAGAGAGTGCCAGCGAAGGCCGGGGGCGGGGAGCAGGAGGCTCGATCAGAACCAGCCACCCGCTGCCAAGGAAGTCGTCCACAGGACCACTGTCCATTCTTTGTGGCAAATGGGACGACGGTGCTCCAATTTCTGGGGCTGGCGGGGCTTGAGCGATGGGTAGTAGGGATTTAAGAGCCACGCTGTTACCGTTACCGACAATCACAGGGTCGTCTGTGTGGGTCTCCAGCAGGGTACACTGTCCCCTGGCTCTGCCTGGACCCCCACAGCTGACCTCTGATACAGGCCAGAGAGGCTCAGGAGGACAGAGAGGTAAGGCTGGGTTTTTAAGGAAAGAAGACAAGAAAAGTGCAGGAAGAAGATGGAGGAAACAGGCATTTATGGGCCCTGGCACTGTGCTCAGCGCTGTGCAGGCACCACCTTGCTCCATCCTCACCAGGACCTTCTAGCAACACCCCCGTTTTCAAAGGGAGAAATGAGCTCAGAGAGGTTGAGTGACTTCCCCAGAGCCACACAGCCAGAGAGTAGGGGCAGCTGCGGTATGTGTTTTTTCTTTTAAAAATTCCTTTTTTATTTTTAGATTTCGGGTGAGAATGCGACTCCAAGTCTATTTTTAAAAGTTATTTTAAAAGTTTGGTAAAATATACATGATATAAAACTTAGCATTTTAGCCGTTTTTAGTTCAGTGGTATTAGGTACATTATGGGGTATAGTTTTAAGCCTGGGCGGTTCTGAAATGTGTGAGCTTCTCATAGGAAAACGGAAGTTGGGGAAGGGAGAGAGAAGGAGAGAGAGTAAGAGAGAATGTTGGAGGAGACACACAGTGAGGTTGAAAGAGAGAAGGGGAAAGAAAAAGAAAAAAGTGGGGGTTGGGGGCGAGGAGTGGGGCGATGGGGAGGGAACATAAGGAAAAAGACACAGAAAAAGACAAGGAGAAGAAGGGAGAGGCAGGAGACAGAAGGGAAAATGAGGGAGCTAGAAAAGCAGGAGAAAGAAAAGGATGAAGGAAGAGAGGACAAAAACAAGAGCCAAGGTAGGCACTGGGGCTAGGGGGCCACCTTGAGCCTGGGGTTGGCTGGGGCCGCCCAACAGGGGCGGCCTGCAGGTGACCAGCAGTGGGTGGCCCCTCCCTGTCTTGAGCCCTGGGAAAAGCCTTTTTACCCCATAAGGATTCCTTTACGCAAATGGGCCTGGGGACCGACAGCCCCACCACTTGGCCCCGGGGCACCTCTGGAGCCAGCCAGGCTTTGAGGGGCCAGGCTCTGAGGGGCCGGGGTCTGCGCCTCCTGCTTCCCACTCTCAGAAGCAAGGGGTCTAAAGCTTCAGACACTCTGCTCTCTCCCTCAGGATGTGGGTTACATCCTAGCACCAACTCTATGCTTATTTAATTAATATTATCAACTTTTTTAAAACTAAAACAATTAATTTCTATGAAGGGAACATTGTGCCATTACCATGAATGGAAACAGTCATCGCTCCCACAAACAGAGAGGTCCTGTAAACTACGATGGCCTAGGACCCTGGCTAGGGGCTGCCCAGGCCAGCGCTTCCAGACACCGCCGGCTCCTCTTCGTTACACAGGGTGCACAGCGTGTGCTGGGGGGCCGGTGAAAGGACCCCGGTCCCCAGCTGGACTTGCTCCCGGGTATGAGCATGATGGGAAGAAACCGGAAAAGGGGACGGACACTCAGCTCAGCGGGGGATTTAAGTGCTATTTCGCTGGATCACCCAAAGTCAGGCTGGGACATGCGGCCAGCCCTTGGGGAAATACTGATCCAGGGTGAACCACAGAGGGGAAACTGAGGCCCGGAGGGCTACCTAAAGTCTCACACAGCGTCTAGGGTGGAGCAGAGCCCAGGACCAGGTATCCCTGACACCTCTGGGCCTGGGGTGTCCCGGGGGTGACCAGGAGAGTGGGGCGACTCACCAGTGGCCTCGTCCCGGCCCTCCTGCATGACGTGGTCATTCTGGCTGACCCACTCGCCATTACACTTGAAATAGATCTGCGTGGCAGGCAAGGCGCGGCAGCTCAGCTCCACCGGCTTGTTCTTCACGATGTAGGCATCTTGCGGCTCTTGGAGGAAGTGGGGCAGCAGCTCAGTCGGCGCCGACTGGTAGGGGTCAGGGAGCACCTCACTGCCCGAATCAGTGCCTGTGGAGAGAGAGGGGGAGGGAGGGCTCCATGAGGCTGCAGGCTGGGGAGGCCAGGGGCACCCACTGACCCCTCAGCGGCCCAAGGCACAGAGAAGGGGCAGCTGGCAGAGACCTGCTAGAGATGCCCTCTGTGACCAGGGCAAGGTCTGGCTCTCCCGGGCCTCAGTCTCCCCATCCTATCCTGCTGTTAGGAGGCTCTGCGGTGGAGCCAGTTCCAGCTCTATGATGTCATGTGTGATGCTTCTTTACAGATGGAGAAATCAGAGTGGCCTGGGGAAGTGAGGTGACCCCTCGAGGCAAGGACACCCCTGAGGCCCTCCAGCCCTCCCCAATGTCCCCTGCAGGAGCCCTAGCTGGCCTCCCCACCTAGTTTCCCATGGTGATATCATAGTTTGAGGCTGTCCCGAAGCCATGGCTACCTTTTGCAGTCCCAGCCAACCAGGCTGATGGAAGTGGGGAGAAGGGCCAAGATCTGCAGGGGCATGGGGTGGGGCGGCAGCACCAGGCCCGGGCTCCCTGGTGCAGCGTGGCGGGCCACCTCCTCCCCAGGAAGTCCAGGCAGATGGCAGCATGGAGCGGAGACAACCTCCCCAGCAGCCTCCACCTTGAGTCTCCCTCCTCTGGTCTGGGGCTCTGATTCGCCCCTTAGCTCTTCCCATCTCAGCCAAATCCACACCCTCCGCCCCAAGGATGAGGAAAATTCAGAGGCTGGGAATGCACTGAGGCTGTCAGTCTCCTCCCTGAAAGGGCCAAAAGGAAACCCTGGCTGCCCACCTCCCTGGAAAGAACAGCACCTCAGGAGGTGAGACAAACAGGAAGGGAGAACAGCCAGCCACCCAGCGCTAGGAGGCGGGGAAACCAGGCCGGACCAGGCGATTGGTTCACAAATCCACTTAGGAAAATTGGCTTTCCAATGCCAAGCGCCAAACGATCAAGCGGCAGGGAACTTGCCCTCCTCTGCTAACTGCTCCAGAGGAAGCAACGAATTAAGCTGCAGGGGCGCCCATGCCTGCCCTGCCCTCACCAGCCAGCTCAGGCCCTGTCACTGTCCCAGCACCCAGTGCCTCAAGTGGGGCTGAGGTCCTGGAGGCCCAAGAAGTCCCTGGGATCATGCATTTGTCCTCTAGAGCAGAATGAAGCAAACATGCCTGATGTGCCCAAGCCGTGTGTTGTCTCTGCACCAGCAGCTCCTGCTAAGACGGGGGGGGGGGGGGGGGGGGCGCCTCAGGAGCTCTGAGAAAATGCAGGGGTTGTCACTGGCTCCGGGCTCTAGGCTGTGTGAGTGTGTGTGTGTGTGAGAGAGAGACAGAGAGAGAGAGAGAGAGAGACAGAGAGACAGAGAGGGGGTGGAGAGAGAGAGGTATCAACCTTTAGAGGAGAGAAGGAAAAGCCAGCAAGAAGGGGTGTGACCCCAGCTCCATCCACTATGTTCCGTGTGACCTGGGGGAGCCCCTTAACTCCAACCTAGTTACTTAGTCTCTGAAGAGGGCAGGATCTTATGAGATAAACATACATGAGTGCCTAGGAGGAGCCAAGCACATAGTAGGTACAAGGTACTGTAATAAAATAGCAACTAATGCTCACCTCACATTAGGTGCTTTGCTTACAATACTTTACTGAAAACGTACCTAATTCTTGTACCAAGTTAGTAAGGTATGTTATATTAGTTCCCAGTTCATTGACGGGGAAACTGAAGCCAGAGTGGTTAAGCACCTTGCTCAAGAGTACACAGCCAGCAAGAGGCAGAGCCAAGATCTGAACCCAAGAAACAGACTTCAGTGTCTGGGATGCGGCCCAGGACTCCACACCCTCCATCACTGGAGTAGCCCCATATACTGGGGGTGTCCCTGGGAATCCTAATAGACCCTGGCACTGGCCAGGACTCTGTTAACGATGGGGCTTTCTCACCTAAGGTCCAGCAAGACTAAAACCATCCTTCCTCTTTCAAAGCTGAGGAAACTGATCATCCAAACAAGGCGAGTGACTGACCCAAGGCCAGCTGCTTAGTGAGCAGCCATACTGGGAATAGCTCTGAGGATTCCTGAAGCCAGGCCAGGCTCCCTGATACCCACTTCCTTTCACTAGGCAGGGAGACACCTTCTCTGTAGGTAAATTGGTAGCTTCTGGGGCCTGGGAGCTTGGGCAGCTGGTGGCGAGATGACACAGTGCCCAGGGAGCCAGATGCGGGTCTCCCAGTGGCTTGAGAGCTGGTCACTGTGGCCCTTCCAGCAGGCAGGCAGCTCTAGGGAGAACACGTCGGAGCCAAGGGGGCACGGGGCAGCAGAGAGCCCGCCAGGCTCCAAGCCCGCCACCCACCAGCCGCACCCTGCTTCAGCCTCAGGCCTAAACTCAGGCTCCGCAGGCTCAGACACCCCAGGGTCTGAGCCAGACCTCACTGGCCTCAGGCACCACCTCATCTGTGAAAGGGGGGGACTGGACCTCCCTCTGAGGGGTGGTGACCACCACAGAAGGTAAGTGGGAGGCCCTGGGTACAGCCGTGTGCTCGCCCTACTGTCTAACCACGTGGGCCCCAGCCTCCATCCAGGTGATGGCTTCCCTGGCTCTCTGCGGCACTGCAGGCTGTATTTATGACTTTGTTTTATAACCCTAATGCAGCTTATTTATAAAGCAGGCACAGACTCGACTGAGGAAAGTAAACATTAGACATCCATTAGTGCAGCAGGCCCCGCCCTCCCTGCCCCACCCCTCCTCGCAGCCTGGCACAGATTCATCCCTGGCTTTGGCAGGAATATGGCTGGGCGTCCTCATCAGCGCCTCTCCATCATGGCAGTGTCAGTGGCTCTTGAAGTGGCTGTTGCCCCCTTGCCAACATCCCCACCCCCTAGGCATCCTAGAGGCAAACGCTGCCAGCAGACAAGGAAGAAGAACAAAGGGCCGACCTGAGATTCCTCCCCAGAGGGACCCCTGGCAGCCTACAGGCTGGCCGGCATGCAGTAGTTGCTCAGCAAATGCAAGTAAATAAAGGGGGGCTAGAAGCTGCTGCCAGGGCTTGGGGAGCAGCTGAGTTGGGTCCCTGCCCTAACCACCGGATACTTCCCCTCCTCCTAGGCTCTGGCTCAGGCCCTGGCAGCTGAGGGAGGCTCCACAGGTGTCCCAGAGGAGGGCTACCTGAGCCCGCGCTGTGGGAGCCAGCTTGGAGGGAGAAGGAAAATGGAGTCTTGGGGTTCCTGGGTGCTAACTGTGCTAGGTGCTTTCAGAAAGCATTTCACGTAAACTCATTGGTCCTGTAACAACCCTAGACAGAGGTTCCCAAACCTTTTTGGTCTTTAGTGTCTTGGTAATTTTCATCCAGTAATTTTTCTTGGTATTTTTACTGCAAGGCCAAAAGAAATTCCTCGTGGTTCTGTTTATTAAGTAGTTAAATCCAAAGAGCACACGTGTGTGCCCACATGTGCATGTATCCCAACACTTCAGTAGCCACTTGAAAAAAATAATGCACATAAACTGAAAGATAAAATAGTATTTGCGTTCCATTCCTAAATAGCCACAACGACTTACTAATGGGGATGTGCACACCTGCCGGGCACTGCGTAAGTTCTCAGATCTTGGAATCAAGAGTGGACACAGCACCCTCACTGTCTGTCTCAGGGTCCTTCCAGAGGCCCAAATCCCAGCTCGGCAAAGACATGATGCCATCTAAAAGAAAGGCGTGTGATGTAATGTTGAAGTTATAAGCTATCTTGAGCTAGTAGTTGTCGCAGTGGCTGGCGGCGGTCCAGTATTGCTGTGTTTCCTGGAAGATTAAAAATGCCTCCCAGCAACCTTGTGAATTTGCTGTGGCACCCCGGGGTGTCCTGGTGCACGTTGGAACCACAGCCCTGTCCATTCGGCACTATTATTATCCTCATACTACAGATGAGAAAACCGAGGCTCAGAGGGTGTAAGTAGCTGGCGCAGAACTGTAACGCAAGGAAGCGGCAGGGCTGGAGAGGAAACTCGGGCCGTCTGTTGCTTGACTCTAACTTCTGAACTGGGAACTGGCATTTATGTCCAGTACGTGCCAAACGCTTCAAATATTTCAGCTAATACACTCCTTATAACCTCACGGTGGGGATTATCTTTCCATTTCACAGGCGACATGGGGCACCAAGGGATTTGCCTGAGGCCCCCTGGTCAGTGCGAGGAAGCCAGGCTCTCAGGCTCAGCGCCGTGGCTTCACTATAGCGGTCCCCACTGTCCCTATTTTCCAGAGGGCATAAAACACCGGAGCAGAGCGCCCCGGGGAGGGAGGAGGCCTTGCCTCTGCCAGGCCAGATATGAATTTCCTGCCGACAAGAAAGTGTCCCATGTGAAGGGTGTTTTTCTAATAGCAGAACTTATTTGGATCTATGGTTGCAAAGCTGCATCCTGCCTTTAAAGCTGCAAACACGAATGGCCCAACTAGCCCAAGGTGAAGGTATGGGAGACACTGCCACAAAGAGTTGACACACGGGAAAAGAACCGTCACTGAAGTCAGGGGCCCTGGGTTGGTGCCCGGCCGGGGCCTGGTATTGCTGTGTGGCCTTCCTTGCAGGCCTCCAAGAGCCCATCTGTAAAATCAGGAAGCTGGCTGAGTCAATCTCTCAAGCCCTACCCTAGTTCTAACACTTTGAGATTTGAAGGTTCCTTATGGGGAGCCTGCTAATGTATGACAACATCCCAGCGTGTAAATTTTGTCTCCAGGAAGTTAATTTGCTTCAAGTGGGGTCACCTTTCTTGCCATTTTTATTCATGACTCAAAACCCAGCACATCCTGTGGTCCTAAGACACAGCGTGGGGAGAGACGGGGAGGGAGGAAGAGGAGCGACGTGCTGCCGTGCTCTCTCCATGCAGCAGCCCACCCACCGCAGGCTTCAGGCCAAAGTGACCACCAGCGCCTCTGCGTGGGACCTCGTGTGGACCCCACGCAAACCCTCACTTCTAGTTGACTTACACCTGTTTATATGAGGTCTCCTGCCAGCTAGTCCCTCGGCAGCAGACTCACAGGGACAGAGGTTA